ATATTCATCAAACCCTGCCTTTCGTTGCGCAAGCACAGCGCCAAGTCCAACACCACTGGCATCAGTATGAACCTCCGTGGGAGCGGCAGGATCAAAGTGGCGGAGGATGGGTGGTGAAGTCAGCAGGTGGCGTAATTTGGTGAATGCATCGTCGCATGCTGGTGACCAGGTGGAAAGGTCCTTGTCGCCGCTAAGAAGGTCCGTAAGGGGCGCACATACAGAAGCAAAATTTCTAATAAAGCGGCGGAAGTATGACGACAAGCCGACAAAACTTCTAAGTTCCTTCAAGTTCTTTGGCTTCGGAAAATCGGCGACTGCTCGAAGCTTGGCGGGGTCAGGAAGTATGCCTTCCCGCGATACGACGTGGCCAAGAATGGTGAGCTGCCGGGCACCAAAACGACACTTCTTAAGGTTGAGTTGAAGGCCGGCGTCGGTGAGACGTGTGAGGACGTGCTCGAGACGATTTAAATGGGTGTCGTATAACTCGTATAACCCATCAGGTGTGACAAATGCTGTTTTCGGTCGGTCAGATGCTTCCATAGGAACTTGCCAGTATCCAGACCGTAAATCCAGCGAAGAGAAGTATTCTGCTCCCTGCAAACAGTCAAGGGCGTCGTCTATTCGCGGTAACGGGTAAACGTCCTTGCGGGTGATCTTGTTTAAACGTCGATAGTCCACACAGAACCGTATGGAGCCGTCCTTCTTCTTAACAAGAACGACCGGTGACGCCCAGGGACTGTTAGAAGGCTGTACAATACCCCGCTGGAGCATGTCAGCAACCTGGTCGTCAATAACACGGCGCTCCGACGCTGAGACTCGGTAGGGGCGCTGCCGTAGAGGCGTATGGCTTCCTGTGTCAATCTTGTGAGATATGTTCGATGTGCGACTGAGGCCAGAAGCGTGGCTGTCAAAAGAAGAACGAAACTTTTGCAGCAGGTTCACTAACTGGCTTCGTTCTGAAGAAGACGTTGCGACATCGATGGAGCGGTGGAAAGCGTCAAGGAGTGACTGGTCAACAACAGAGTCAGAAATGAGTGCGCTGAGGTCCGTAGAAAGTAAACTAGATGGAGCGTCAAAAATGCGACGGGCGTCGATCGGATGCATGTGACCGAGACATTCACCATAGAATAAAGGTAAAGGCCCTTCTAGCGTATTGTACAGGAGCGTCTTCGTGATGCCATGGTGGAGAGTAAGGAGAGCAATGGGCAGTGGAGAACATTTGCGTTGAATGAACAAGGCAGAGGGCGTAAATAAAACATCACCGTCGGAAATAGCGTCACACGACACAGTCACCAGCAGAGAAGAGCGCGGTGGTACGCTGGTGTCGTCGGAAACAAACAGTTTATAACACGGCAGGGAGGCTTCGACAGCGTCTACATCAGGAAGTGCAGATAGCTCAAGTTCAGCGCGACAGCAGTCAATGACGGCATTATTATTCGCAAGGAAGTCCCAGCCGAGTATCATGTCATGGGAACACGAGGGCAGCACTACGAATTCGACGATATACACAATCCCTTCGATGACGACTCGTGTGGTACAGGCTGCGAGAGGTGTTACACTTTGTGCGTTAGCCGTTCTCAGAGAGAGGCCGGATAATGGCGTCAGAACTTTGCGGAGTTTGCGGCACAGGTTGATGGAAAGGACGGATAGAGCGGCTCCGGTGTCGACAAGCGCCATGACGACGATACCATCGACTGACACTTCAATGACGTTAGCTGGACAGGGGCGAGGACTTGTGCATGGCGACGGGGACGCAGTTCGTGCCTCGGGAACTGCGGCCGTTAGTTTTCCTGGCCGGTGGGTCCGGAACGGCGATGCATAGGGGAAAGCGAACGTCGACGTGGAGATGGGGAGCGGCGGGTCGGGCCGTGTGGACGATCAGAAGGAAAGGAAGAGGAAGGAGGGCTTGAAGGCGTAGAAGAAAATTGAGGGTCGAAAGAGGGCATTCGTCGAATGTTCTGAGCAGCCTGGCGACGACGACAATAACGTGCCACGTGGCCAACACCACCACAAGCAAAACATATGGGACGGTTGTCGTAGGTCTGCCATTGGTCGGAGTAGACTCCGACTTGCGGCTGGGGGGCAGAAAACTGCGGCCGAGGTGGTATCGGCATAGGCGGCGGTGAATAGGTCGGCGGCGAAAAGGGCGGCGGCGAATACATAGGTGCTGGCTGGAACGCAGGCTGTCGAGGTCGAGCAACGGCCTCGGCGTACGTGAGAGGTGCGGCGACTGGGGGCGGTTCACGGGCGGGAGGAAGAACTTGTGCGACCTGGTCTTGAATGAAGTCGCGGAGTGTAGATGTGAATCTGCGTGGTTGATCGGGTACGCAGGACATCAAAGAGAGCTGACGAGCGACCTCAGCGCGGATGAACTCTTGGATCTTGGAGAGAAGAGGGGCGTAGTCTTCTCCTATGCCAAGGGTGGAAAGGCTGGACGAAGAGTCGTCGAGCACCGAGGGACGCCGGGTGGAAAGACGTTGCCTGCGCAACTCGTCAAAACTCTGGCATAACTCGGTCAGTTCTAGGACAGTGCGAGGAGTCTTAGAAAGCAACATTTGGAAAGCGTCGTCCTCAATGCCCTTCATGATATGCTTGATCTTAAGCTCTTCGGACATCGACTCGTTGACTCGCTTGCAAAGGTCCAGAACGTCCTCAATATAGCTTGTGAAATTCTCACCAAGCTGCTGGGACCGAGTATGTAAGCGTTGTTCGGCACGGCGTTTGCGTACCTCAGGCTGCCCGAAAACTTGTGTGAGGCTCGTTTTGAAGACCGACCATGTAGGGAGTTCCGCTTCGTGGTTTATAAACCACAGCTTGGCCATGTCCGACAGGTAGAATGAGACGTAGGCCAACTTGGCGGCGTCATCCCATTTGTTGTGAGTACTCACTCGCTCGTACATTGAAATCCAGTCGTTAACGTCCTTGTCTTCTGTGCCTGAGAAAACAGGGGGATCTCGCAGACGCAGAGAACCGGCGCAGAGAACAGTAGGCGGTGCCGGTGGAGGAGTTGGAGCGGCGCTTGCGTCGGTAGGCATAATGGATGGTAAAATGGATGGTAAATCCGAAGCTCCAGGGTGATCGAAACCCAGCAGAATCCACCACTTGTAACGGGGTTTATTTGCAGCGCAGAACGCAGAAAGCGAAGCAGTCAGCAGCGTCCGGCCAAGCGCAGAAAGCACGAGCTTATGCTGATGGCGATGCCCCTGATGCGCCGAGAAATGCCGCTGAAGCTCCTCTTCTTCACTACATTCCGAACTCCCTCCCAACTTCTGCCTGCGACCAGCCACTTTAAACTTGTTTGTTGATGGTGGCTTTCTTTTCCATCGTAAGCCTACGGGGGGAGATTTGTGCGCTTCAAAGGCGCGGGCGAAGACTAAGAAACAGTAGGTGCCATCGCTCTAAACGGTGAATTTGTTTGACGAAAAGCGCAGCTTCAAATAGCTAGAAACTTGGTGGATGCTGGAGGTTGGGAAATGTAAACGCTGAAAATAGCGCGCAGCAGCACACGATCTACCGCAGAGCTCAGCTGACCAAACAGTGTGTGAAGAAACACAGTGGGGTTTGACTACACGTTTGAGTAACCTACGGCTGGCAATGGATTGGCGCGCGCTAGATTGCGGCTGTTTCGAGGGTACGGCAGCTATGGCGTGGTGCTGCTGGCCACACCTGCGATGCGAGTGCGGTGAGTTCGAGGATATGAAAACAACGAAAATGGTGGCATTGATAGTGACTGAGTCTGCGATCAGTGGTTAAATGTCTGGAAAATCGGATGGCGAAGGCTGTAAGCGACTGAAATTTCGAACTATTTAGTACATTTGCTGGTTGGGAAAGTTGGCGGTGTCACAGATGAGTCCGAGAAATCGGGCATGTCTGGAATTTCGTACGTCCACTGTATATGGCACAGGTACTTGGGTCTGTGCCATCATTTGCAGAAATTAGAGGGAACTATTTCTTGTTGCCTTCCAGGCCACTTGTGCTATCAAGCTTGGCTCGCATGTTCTGTGGAGCCTTGACTAGCATTTTCCGACCATGCTGAAAGAAGTGTTGCAGGGCTCATTTAGACTCTCTCTGATATTTGTGTGACTACCACATAATTACATAATTTTATTTTTAAAGGGGCCCTGCAACACTTTCTGAGCATGGTCAGAAAATGCTGCTGATCGGTAGTGGAGACTTCCGACAACACGTGAGCCAAATATTATAGCGCAGCATGCGGCCTGGAATTAACAATAAATTATCACATTCAGCTAAAAATAGCTTTCTCTTCTCTCGACATATCACGAAAAATAAGCCCAGTAAGCCCATCTATCAGCCATTGGCTGATTTGAACATGGCGCGCTCGGTTGTTACAGAGGTCACTGTAAGAGGCCGTCACTTGTCCACGCGTGCGCGCACGATTGCACTGAAAAAGCCGCGTATTCGAAGAAGAAAAAAAAAAAAGAAATGCTCCAGGTCACAAAGCGCGAGTGACGTTTTTTGTTTGCCCCTCCCATCCCATCCCTCCCTGCTCAGCTTCCAGTGCTTTCGTCGGGACGAGAGAAGAGAGAATGTGATTGCAGCGTGTGACAAATCTTTGTAACTCCGCTTGTACTGGACGGATTCTTAAAACTTTTACAGCGTTCAATTTGTGAGGTAATACGCTTTTCGAGTGAATTAATTTTATGGCTACTCAAAAAAGTGTTTCAGGGCTCCTTTAAAGACATGTGCAGTGTGTTTAATACAAAAAGTTTATGGTATAATGAAGGCACTACTGAGGATCATTTCACTGTCACTGGTAGCTAGGATCATTTCACTGTCACTGGTAGCTGTGACTAATCTGCAGGATATAGAGAAGTTGGGGCAGTAGTCATTGTTTCTTATTAATATCTGTAATGAGGATTATAAATATGGTCTAAATTGTTTTTAAAGGATGTTTCGAAAAGGTGGTTATGTCTGCAGGTAACAAAACAGTGGGGTGAAAGTATTGCTGTGGCTAAATACGATGCTTTGTCTGTGCCCAGTGGTTCATCTTATGGCGGTGACCCCAGAGACTCGAGGTTGGACGAGTCTAACAAGGGTCATCAACTCCTTCGTAAAATGGGTAAGTGCGTCACTAAGTGTTACCACACTACCTAATGCTTAGTTCGTTGGATCGAAACACAGTTTGTTTGTGGAAATGTAGGCTAATTGTACCTTCTTAATGAAGTGTTTCAGCAGTAATTGTAATACTGTGCTGTTTATGCTGCTGTATCACTTTTCTCTGTTAAATATACCTCGGTGCGAAAACATTTAAGACGTACTACTTGCTTGATGTGTACAGCAACATGACATGATTATGGTGCCTAAAGCAGGTATTGCAAAAATAGAATTCTGCCGACCATGCTAATGCAGGAAACCGCCACTACTAAGGGATCCCATTGCTAAGCACTGTGACGTCGAACTGCACTGCCGAAAATAGTGGACAGAACGACGTCGGTCCGACGTTTCTAGAACGACGTTTTCTAGACTGAACAGTCTAGAAAACAGAACGTTATAAAATGTTGAAATCAAATCTGACATGAGGGGTCGAGTCCTTTTGTCAGTTACGCACGCCTCTTACAATCTGGAATACTTTCTGGGGATTACACACTTTTGCTGGCACACTAGTTTAGCTGAGTCGAGAAATACACGAGTTGACAGCAGAGTACGTTTACGTTTATCTACTAGAAAAGGCAGGTCTCTCAGAGTGCGGTGATAAAAGCTTTCGAGTGCTGGGGTCTTTGCCCCTTTACGAAGGGAAAACAATAGAAGTTGAGGTGCGACCCCCCTCCCTCTTTCCCTGAAAGCAGGGAAAATTCCTTCTTAAATTTGTAAGAGTACATACGTCCATTGTGGTGATGGTGATAGGCACTTGACATGTGAGGGGTAGATAGATAGATAGAAAAGCTATGAACAATTGCTACAGATTGTATATAACAGTAAGGTAGACTCTCAGTAAACGGAACCTGAAGGTACTGGGAAAATGTGTTCCATTTAACAGGAGTTCCGTTCACTGAGAAGTGAACATGGGTGCAGAATACAAACCCGAAACCAAGCATTGCAGAGGCAATAGTTCGATTTAAGCAGTAGTTTCGTTTAACAGATTTCCATTTACTGAGAGTCTACTGTATTTGCATTTTCTTTACAAACTGACTTGGCACATCTGCAAAGCTATACATTCAAGAAATTTTGTTGTATCGTTCGTCTTGTGCGAGATGATAAGGAAGCCACTATAATTTGCAGTCTCAAATTAAAGGTAAAGTAAGAGGTCCTATACATATTAATCAACAAATAATAAGTATATTGGTGGTGTCAGTATCAACCATGAATTTTTGGTACTTGTCTCATTCGAAAGACTTACCTACTCTAATCAACACTCTGTTTTTAGGTTGGGGAGGGGCCGGTCTCGGTGCCTCCGAGCAAGGCATTCAAGACCCAATCCATCCGGGCGACGTCCGAGACCGCCAAGACCTCTACAAGGGCGTCGGCATCAACCTTCACGACCCGTACGAAAACTTCCGCAAAAGCAAAGGCCAGGCATTCATCAACAGGATGAAAGCACGGACGGAAGATGTCAAGTGAAGACGACATTGCTTCTCCTCTCGACCTGCAACAACCATCTCGCGCAAACTCACAATCGTCAACTTCCTTATACTTGCCAGACGAAGTTTAGGACTTTGTATGCGTGTCCATTTGTTGTTGTCCCATCTAGTGAAAGATTCCCCCCTCCCTTCCTCACCCTTTGTTTTGTGTTTTAACTTTTATGTCAGTTTCCGGACCTCATCACGAATGCAAAGGTTCGGAACTGGACCGTCATTGCTCATTTGACCTGCAAGTAAATTATGGCCAAGGCAAAAGTGAAATGGAATGTGTTGGAACTCTGTACAAAGTAAACCTGGCATTAATTAAATGATATTTCTGGGCAGACCTGCTGTACTTGTCGTTTTGCAGTTGGCGTCGAAGGGCCTCTTTAAAAATTTTGGTTGCGCACTGCATCACAGAGCACTACTGTAACACTTTTCGCAGTGACTAATTGTTTGAGATGACGGCAGCAGGAGGAATCTTGCGCTGTGACGTCAGCCAGAGCCAGAAGCCATACACCATACTTGACATTGTCATGTGACGCTAGAACGAGTGCGTCTGACATGAGTCCTTTGAGTTTGACCATGACTGCTGAAATTAGAGGGATGAGGTTGGCTCTTGAGAGAAAGTTGTGCATGGGCCTCGTATTAAGTTTGTTTCCATGCGGAGTAATCGTGTAAATGCTTTGAGAACAGGATCGTCATGTGGTCTACATGTCACCTTCATCTACTTTCAATGCCCAATAAGGTAATGCAATAGCATATGTAGCTAGGTGGGCTAGTTGGTATTTAGTGATTAAGTAAAATCTGTGAGCGTAAATAAACGACTTGGGACCAAGAAAAATTGATGATTTGATTTGATTTGTGGGGTTTAACGTCCCAAAACCACTACTTGATTATGAGAGACGCTGTAGTGGAGGGCTCCGGAAATTTTGACCACCTGGGGTTCTTTAACGTGCACCCAAATCTGAGTACACGGGCCTACAACATTTCCGCCTCCATCGGAAATGCAGCCGCCACAGCCGGGATTTGATCCCGCGACCTGCGGGTCAGCAGCCGAGTACCTTAGCCACTACACCACCGTGGCGGGGCAGGGACCAAGAAAGAGAGCCATACACCACAAGCGCTTGTGTTGTGTGTTTCTCTTTCTTGGTCCCGTGTTGTTTATTTCGGCTCAAAGATTTTACTTGATAATGTAATATCACTCAGACTTTTTTCTCCTCTCTTATCCTTGATGTTTTGGTACATGAAGCTTCTTGACAATGGAGCACGCGAAAGGACATAATGCGACATTTGTTTCCGCAGACCTATTTTGGTACCAAGGACATCAATTTGTTACAATGTGGCGAGACAAACAATGGCTCGCTCCACCCACATATTGTCTGCTGCAATAGCGAAGTCGGTAGAAGCACACATTGGTTCTATAGTGAAGCTGCTTATGTGAAACCTCTTGCATATCTCTGTCCCAGGCCCATAGCCAGAAATTTTTTTCAGGGCAGCCACACTGGCTGAAGAGCTTGACTATTTTAGAAAGATGCCTATTTTCACTGCTATAATTGCACTTCCTTTAGGATGGGCATGCCCTAGTTGCCACGCCAACCTTGCAAACAGTGCCATGGCAAACTGGGTCTAAGCAGTCTTGCTTAGAAGGCACCCATAACTGCAGTGATTAAAATAATTTATAGCCTTAAACATTGTAGCATCAGAGGCTGCTACGCTCTAAATGACCATTTCCCCGTAGAGAGTGTCTTCCAGACGATAATTGCCAAATGCACGAACACTCAAAAAGCACTATCTAAGGATTGCTTTGTGGCCAGCGTCTGGCACATGTGCAGAGGACCAGGAAATTTGTAGAGATGCAAGAAACGTGTTCCCGATGAGCAGCCTTGTGCATACCACATTGCGAATCTTTCATTGGCCTGAGCAGAGTGGATAGTAAACATCGTGCTGCGTATTTCAATGGTATCTTTTGAATCTGAATTTGTGCAGTATCAAGGTGTAGATTGCAGGTTTGGTATTGTCAGGGCAGCAGCGTCTAAAAACGTAGCATGAAGACAAAACTGTATGTCCCTCTTTTTTATTTGTCCTAAGTTCTTGTGTGCCATTTTGCTTAGAAATACCAGAAATGATACTCGCTTTTACACCAGTATTGTGAAGGAGGAGCCGTTTTGCTACATAGCAGCAGTAGTTCTACAAAGGACATAGCAAGAACCTCAGGACAGCATTGGGCAACAGATGGCTTGCACCGACGTCACTTAAAACGCACTGTGCACCGCATGGTGGCACACAGTGTTTGCGATGTCGCGTGTTCTAATAATATCTGAAGTTTTACATCCCGAAACCACTATATTATTACTAGGGTCTCCAATCGCTCAGGTCTCTCCTCAAATCCACGCACTAGGGTCTCCGTAGTGGAGGGAGGGGTGCAGAAATTTCGACCATGTGGCGTTCCTTAATGTGCACCAACATCGCACAACACACCTTCATCGAAATGCGACAACTGTGGCCAGTGTCGAACCCGCGACCTTCGGATCAGCAGGTGAGCACCGTCACCGCTGCATCACCGTGGTGGACGACATCGCGTGTTGATGTTATCATTACATCACTTGCAAGTTCTTTAGTCATTGAGGCACAGAGGCCAATAACATTCACAAAGCAGGTTAATGTAATTATGCTGCCTCTATGTTATCAAAGCCATCATGTTGGTGAATCGGTAATTTAAGAAGCTGCATCCGTGACATTATGTGCAAGCCATCTATATATCCAAGCCATCCTTAATTATTTCGATGTGATCGCGTTTCGCCCACAAGAACTGTTAGCACCACTCTGAAGCATCACGAGCGTTTAACCCAGCCCCTCCTATTTCTGTCATGCAATTTCCACTCTAGCAATTCTTTCTAAGCCTCTTTAGTCAAAGGTGTGCTCTAGTAATATTTTGTAAAATAAACAGACCAAGAATCGCCTCAAACGGTATTGATATTCACAGGGAAAAGTAAGGCGTACACGAATACATGTGCATGTTACGTAGATGAGCATGGCACAACATGGTCCGAGGAATGATCACGGCCGGCAGGTTTCGTGGTAGACATCCAAGTTGCGCAAGTCCCTCCACGTTGGCGGCATGTTGTGCTGTAGACGTGTTCCACACCTGCGGCACGGCGCTGAGAACAGGTGCAGGTAACTGTGGAGCCAGGTGAGGAAAGATTTGACGGCCAAGTCTGGCAGTTGCGGAGAGAAGAAGTGGAGCATCGCCGCGTTGGCATGGTCAGTCACCTTTTCAAAAACCTGGTACCGAGACTTCGACCACATGTCAAGCTGGTCGTCATCGGTGTAGAAGTCCTCGTTGAACGCCTTAACGAGTACCCACTCGATGATGAGGCCGCGGAGGCACACCAGGGCCCTCAAGGTCCGGCTCAGCGTAATCTTGAGAACAGCGGAGTTGCCGCACGGCCTGAGAATCTCAATCGACATGTCAACGAACTGCCTTTGCACGCTGCTGATGAATGCATCCACGTTTTGAGGCGAGAAATTGTGGCCGTTGCTATGTGGTCTTCGTAACCGTTTTGTTGGGAACAGCGAGCTGTTAGATCTCTTCAGTCCATTCTGGGTTAGAATTGCTGACGCGTGACTCGTGTGTTCGTGGACTTTGTCGAACCATCGATATGACTTGATCATGTCTGTATACAAGGAAGTCCTGTCCAGCGTTGGATCCTGACACAGGTGGCCGGTGCTTCCCAAGTTGAGAGGTGCGACAGGTGACCCAAGCAGTGTAACGGCTGTTTCCAACTCTCTTATGCGAGAGATGACTGCACCCAGCGTTCCCTGTAGTTCCAGAATGAAATTCTTTTCCTTCTTTTCATCGCCCTGCGAACAAGGAACGCCATCCGTCAAAGTACGAAACACTTCTCCGACAGTACATCGAAGCGCCTTCACGGCTCTCAGGCCCGAGTTCACAGCATCTAAATTGATCCCCATGTCTGCGATGTACGGGTTCATGATTACTGCCGACAACTTTCGCGAAACGCGCTCCTTTAGCGTAACAACACGACGCAGCACTCAAGGGCTCCACTTCCACTTTTCGCGTCAAGATCCGCACCACGGAATAGGTGCTACAGTTATTCTGTGGACTAGACCACAAAATAAGCGGCTTCATTACTTTGTGGACTACACAATAAACTTTTTCAGTGCGATGAAAGCTATTTTGCTGTCTAAATGAGGCGGCAGTCGCCATATTGTTTTGGGCTGCCAAAATCAAAGCCAAAGCGACTAGCAAGCTACGTGAAGCGGAGCGTGTACGCATGTATGCGGCAAGCAGACATGGCAAGCGTTAGCACCAAAGCCAGTACGCCCGGAAATTCCTCGCTTCGCGGCGCTTGTTGCTACCGTGGCTACAGGAGGTCGTCTGGACACCACTGCGTCGTACTTGGATGCTCAAACAACCAGCGAAAGAGGAGCCGGTTGCTGAACGTTTTCTGCCCAGAACACAACACTTGTCAGAAATGGTGCGGGTGCGGCCTTTTCAGCTTCCACCGGTTTCCGCGCGCGGACAAAAACCCCGAACTCCGTCGTCAGTGGATAGCTGCGGTCAACAGGAAAGACTTCGAGCCGAGCAAGTATGTCCGGGTGAGTATGCACAAATGCGGGCAGTACGGACGCTCGCCTTTCAATACGAACTTCATTTGCGCGACACGCAGGTGTGCTCCGAGCACTTTGTGGACGGCAAGCCTTCCGAAGAAAACCCTGTGCCGGTGCTTCGCCTAGGATACACTAAAAAGGCGAGCCCTTTTCGTGTTTGCATCCGTGCAGAACTTCCGAACTGTGCATGTGCAACCAGCGACACGCCGTGCGGCCTATCGCTGGTAGACGCTTTTGCAGGATCGCAAAATAAACGGAGGTGTGCGCCTCTAGGCGTAGGCGTTTTGCAGTGCGCTTGGGACTTCGTGTGGCGTAGACTTCCTGTGTGGTTGCACGATGGTCGTGAGACCACTCCTCGTGAAACACCATTTTTCAGCACTGTGTAAACAAATTTTCGCCGTTTCGCGAAGTGATCAACTTGTGTGGGAAGGGAAGCGGTCTGAAGCAATGTGCTGGTGCATAGCCTCGGAAGGAGCTGATCTCTAGAGAACGGCGGCCCGTTGGTGAAGAAATAGCGAAGTGAAAGCTATTTAATGACCCGTGATTTAATTATAGGTGCTTAACATAAAAGCAAGGCAAAAAAAATGGAGGACCATAGAAACAATGGAATCGATGGCAGTACTGCTGTTTGCGTGCCCTTTCCGGTCTTTAGTCCTTTTTATGCTATTAATATGTGAAGTATGCCCTACTGCCCAAGCGACCATTGTAGCTTAACTTAACTGATGGCGTGAATGAATGCTGTAGCCTAAACGCTTATGTGAATTCAAAAAAAAAAATTAATAGCTGGGACATTTTAACTGTTGTTCACACCCTCCATCTGCATGTAGGGGTCAGCAATGCCAGCATAAATACATACACTCACTTATATACAAATGCATACACACAGTATCCCATATGGGATGGCAGAGCTCCCGCTTGATCTGAGGAGAAGTTCACTTCTAGAGAGTGATGAATTGGGCTAGTTGGTGACTGCTCATAATTTCTTCTGGTACTGGGTACTGTGAAACAGGGTCATATTGACAGCGGTTCGTGCACAAACTTACAGCTGGGTTATTCGTCCACCATGTTTGGGTGATGCATCACCCAGACATGGTGGACACATTATCAGCACCCCATGTTATCTTCACATGCATTGATCAATGAAATACATTGCTGGGCTAGTTGGTTCATAACTTTAAAAGAGGGATAGTGCTGAATCAAATAAGACAAAGATGCTCAGATGGGAAGTTGTTTCTGGCACCTGTCCTGTGCTTCTGTTTGTCTTATTTCTGAAAGTCATGCATTTATACACTTTTTGATGATGAACACTTTTAACCAGGCCATCACTCTTCGATTTGATGCTTGGCACAAGTTGCATGCGTTGTGCTACTGTCATTTAATTATTTATGCAGCTTCCAGACATGCCCGTACATGAAAAGCGGTGAGCGCAGGGATGTTTACGGCAACTATCCGTGTTTTGCTTTCATTGCACAGGTGGTAAAAAGAAGGCTTCGGCAATGTGTTGCTGAACGCAACCAACCCAGCAGCGACCATGAGCAACAAACCGAAAGTGGAAGTGTGGAGGACAATGTCTGCGTACATGTTATCACAAATTCATCCACGCTGCTCGACCCTGGTGCAGAACAAGCAGATCCTGCTGTTAACCAACTGCAGCAGCAACCACGTTCGGCTCACAGGGGAAACACGGTGCGTCATGCAAAGATGCAGAAATGAGTCGTTACGTAGTCTTGAGTTGAGAAATTGTTTTTAGATGTAAAGTTTTGATTCTGAGGAATTTGTTGCATATAAGAAAAGTAACTGCATTGTTGAATTGGCAGAGCGAGCTTTCTGTGGCTGTACTGGTTGCATAGCATCTACAGCATGCTAGGTATGAAGCGCGAAATTTAGTGAAGCTACAAGATACCTAAAAACAGGAAAACACTCACATCCACTCCGTATTGCAGGACCTCAAGGTGCAGTCCAGACAAACTTTCCCAGCACCCAGCAACAAAGGTGGGAACAACCAGGCCAAAGCGTATTAGAAACTTCTAGTTTCCCATTCATTGACCACAAGCTACTTCTCGATATTTTTCTGTGGTGGAAGTGAAAGAATTACCTATCAAAGAAAGGAACGCTATAAAACAAAAGATATGAAACAGTTGATGCTATGTGCAAGAGCTTGCAGTAGGGTGATAAGTTAACACATGGGCAGCGGTTTTATACAAAATTAAATCTGTAAAACAAGTCATCTTCGTATCTGAACTTTATTGCCTACATGCAAAGTTGTTGGTCGTAAAAAAGAAAAGTTTCAAAGTTAGCCAGCTATACATAGCAGAAGCTATCTACGTAAAACACATGTGCTGTATATGCACTTAGTATTTCGTTCCTCTCGTTTTTGAATTGCTATCGGAGCTATGATACATTTGTGTGGAATACAGTATTTAATTTCCGAAGTAAATAAATTTTCTAAACTACAGGGAATCAGTAGCTTAATCTTTGGTTTGCCACAGTCAGTGAGATAAGCAACAAAAAAATGCATCTCTTACAGAAAGTATAAACATTATAAAATTTGCATTTGTTACAAAGTTATAACCACAGAACTTATTTGCCACGTGTAGTGGTCACGCTTTTTGACGAACTGCCTACTGACCTCATTCTCGGTGCAGGCCAAGTCCTGAACAGTGCCTTGGAAATGTACCACGAGAATGATGGAATCACGTCGGGCTCCCAAAGGTCACCGCCGACTGATTCAGCAAGAGGTAAGCCATCCGTCAAGAAAGGCTATTTCCTACATTCTTAAGTGGTATGGTGCTCCGTTTCCTGGCTGCATTGCTAAACTTCCGAGCACATGTCCATCTGTAGTTACTAAACAAGTGATAGCGTGGAATTATGCACATCGACATATGTGATCATGATGCACTAGTAGCAGACAATACTGGAAAAATGATTGTCGAACCAGCACCTCCTCTATTTTTCCAGTGCCAGGCAGATGCACCTGATTTAATCATTCACCATTCTCTCCTATTGTGCTTTTCTATTCACCTTTGGCTAGCGTTAGCGCCTGCTTTGTGTTCAGGGGGGAGGGGGGCTAACCGTTTAGGTGGCGTTTTGCAGTGGAAGTCGGAGGAAGTAATTTTTTGTTCACTTGTGTTTTCATGTGTGGGGCGGCGTCTTGCATCCCTCATGATCGCTGTTTTGGTCGTCACGCCCGCTCTCCATGGGACACGGTGTTTTGAGAAGGCGTGTCTCCATTTGTGGCACCACGCGTGATACCAGCGGGGGCGCGTCACTGCGATGTTGCTGCATGCGGTGGCTTCAAAATGTGTCATAAATGCATTTTTCATCAGTGGCGGTATTGCTTTGAGCCACAAAGGAAGGAGTATGAAGGAAAAGGCCTGACTAACGTGTGATATAGGAGAGGGACAAACGCTACTGCATTCATTTTGAAAAAGGGCGTGCAAGCACGGACTGAAGAATCAAGTGTGGACATCACAAGCGCCCTTTGTACTTAAAGGCCTTTGTGGTGTCCTGGCTACCTCCTTGCGTCCTGCGTTTGCACGCCCTATCTTTTTCGGAATGAATACGTACCAACTAGCTCAGTTTCTGTTATTCTAAGCTTACCTGAGTCTTCACAAGAACAGCAGCATTGCGCCCTGCGATGCGCATGTGACTTGAACACTTGTACACTCTGGAGGGCGTTGCATTGTAGCAACTCCATCAACTAAGGTGAATGAATGGCTACTATTGAGGAGTGAGCGTTTGCTACTGGCACTGAGAAAAATACAGGCGTTGGTCAGACCAATGGTAAAGCGGGCCAGAGCAATATCTTGGACGTAGCTAATTGAAGACTTAGAGCCACCTTTAAATGTTTACTTTTCCTGTGCCTCTTAACATAGAGAAGGGCCTGTTGAAACAGGAAAGTTGAAGACAGAAACCTGCTTTCTGATGGGAGCGAAATCGCAGACCTCTGCTGCAGCATTGGTGTTGCTTTTGCGTCTAGAAAATCTAGCTTTTTGTTCTCCAACTTTTAAATCCGGGGGTGCGCTTTTGCACAGTTTTCAGAAAAAGTGTTTTGGAATCAGATAAAAAGAGTTAAAGGAAGTTATAATGTTACCTTAAAGGAGCACTGACATAAAATTTACTCATGCCAAGATTTTTCTATCAACGAGTAGCTATCGATCCCCTAGTAGCAATATGCGACCTAATACGCAACTGAGGGACGAATAACTATTACTTTTGTTGAGTTATATCCCTGGTATCTAGCACGATTCAAAACGGCCGGCAATCCCCCCATGTTTAGTGCTAAGAGCACTACCAGTGGTTCTGCTATAGTATACCGGAATGGCGCCTAAAGCAGGCTTTCTTTGTGATGACGGCCAGTGCTGCCGCAGAACATGCTACTACCGAGGTGGAACACCTCAATAAAACCTTCCTCTTGTTTGAGGCACTGCCTTCTTCTTTTTCTTCTTCTTCTTATTGTATTCTTGTTAAGGCTTCAGGTGCTTTGTCAAATGCGCAAGTTAATTGACGTCCCCTGTCAGCAGTGTCAATATGAGTGATACGAGAAATCATCACATCGTTGACGTCACCTTATGACATCATCATGGCGTCACAGGTCGCTTAAATTTCTGGTGTCACTGCGATGTCATCGCATGACATCATTGCTTGGTCGAAGGCTTGCGGATTCCAGAGGCAGCGCCAAACCACATTGGATGCAGAAAGCTTTCGGAGGGTGGTGCGGGAGGTTCGGTATGTTGGCTTAGAACAAATGGAAGAAGGTGGCTTCCTCTCACCTTCAAGTCGACCGAGGTGGATGCGTAAGGGTGCCTGTGAGTTTTTTTTTTTTTGACAAAGCTGTTCTTAATGCCAGGTGGCTTCTTATGTGGCAAAACACACTGAATTGGAAGTTCAGAACCTGTGGAACTGGCCTGCTGTGCAGGAACTTTCGTACAGGAAGGTTAATCTGGGAAAGCTTCATTAAGAGGTCGTGAGCTCGTGCTGCCATCTGTGGATAAGAAAGAAAAAAAAAGGTTTGGGTTGTTGAGGATTTTAATAGTTTGTGCAGCCGAGATAGACAACGTTCATGTGTTTGAGGTGTGTGCAAAGTTCCCCACAGTGAGGGAAGGGAGGCAAATTTTCTTCGCAACCTCCCCTGCCTCCCAGCAATATGTTCTTCACAATAGATGAAAAAAAAAAGTAGAAGGTAGTGACGACATGCTTCTCACAATAGCCTTCCTTTGGTCTCTGGCTTTTCGAGAGTACACAGGCGAGATAAACAGTTCTTTGAAGGCAACATCAATGGCATTTGGCTGCCATTATTGCCAAAGTTTAGCTCGTGTCACTGAGTTTAAATACCGTGGTGTAACTCTCACAACAAATTTAAAATAGCACACTCACGTTGAAACAATCTCCAGCAAGGCTCTTAGAAATTTTTGGTATACCAGACGCACGTTAAGCAACTCCACAAAAGAATGCAAACTGGTGGTGTACAAAACCTTGGTCAAGCCCGTACTCGATTATGTGCCGGTTCTTTGGTCACCTCACCACAAACATGACATAGCTATGCTAGAATATGTCCAGAAATAAGTTATAAGGTTGATATTTTGTCGCTATGATCGACGGTCAGTGCCTAGTTCGGATGTGCCCGTTTTGTCGCTGCAGTCCTCTCGAAAATGGGTGCACTAGCGGTCATGTCATCCTCCTGCATAAAATAGTTAACACCAGCTTGAATGTCGTTAATGCCCATTTCTTTCGTTGCAGCTTCTGCACGCCTTACTCGACGATTCGCTCCCTTAAATATTACACCCTTTAGAGCTAATCTTAATTGTTTTAAGTTTTTTTGTGTGGACCGTAGATTTATGGAATGAGCTGAACAGGTGCGAATTCGCAAATCGACTCTGCACAGACTCGATGCTCAGAAATTTGAAAAAGAGATGTGTAATCATGTATTTTGCTAAATCGTATTTTCGTTGTATTTAATTAAAATTTGTGTCCACTCCTGCTATTTCTCAATAATTGAGACAGTAGTATTCGTAAACAGAATAAAATAAAAAAAAAAGGTCTTGTAGCTGTAAGTCCACTTTTCAAGCAGCGATGCGACAGGTCACAGTGAGAACTGTTTTGGGGCAACCCCCACCCCAACCCCTTATCGAGATGATTTGGAGGATGGGGGCCACCCCGCCTGCCCTTCCCGTGCATACACTCATGTGCTTGACGCTAGAAATGCGATTGATTCAGTTCATCCAGTCGTAACTCTGGAGCCTCTTGTGCGCATTCGTGTTTGAATCATGCTCATTCACAGTGTGCGCACTTGTTTCGCGCGCGCAGGTGAATTCAGGTACAAGCCACAGACCAGGACCATGCCGCGGAATCAGTCCTGCGCCGTGATTGGATGCGGCAACACGAATTCGAAACGCGAGCGTTTGATGGCGGAACTCTGTCCCGATCACAATGTGCCCAGGTCCAAGTGCAGGATGCGGCGTCTTCACCTTCCACCGCCCTCCGTCCGTGTGGAAGCACCATGAGAACTGGAAGGTGGCATTTTCCCTACCCGACGATCACTTAACATATAGCACGTGGGTGGGTACACTTTCAACTTTGACTGTTGAAAGGCAGTTATTGTCAAATTGACTCACTAGTTCAAGTGTGGGAAACCTTCTGAGGCGGAAAGCCAAGTTGCGTGAAGCCAACAGAGCGTCCGACATGAAGCCGGACGGAAATTTAGGGGGGCTTTATAGACGCAGAGAAAAACTTTATAATTGACAATATATCATACCAAACTAGATCAGTATTCATGTTTATTTTCAATGCACTCAATGCACTTTCAATGCAATCAAATCCAGCTAGGTTACCAGCAAAATTCCCATTTTGGGTCAAAACTGCCATCTCATCCTTCAGGTAGGAAGTGACAAGGCAAGAAGGTGAGGGGGTGTTTTTCGTCATGCCGTGGCCCGCGTGCCATGGTTTGGCAATTGAGTTGTAATTGCTCGGGACCATTTATCTTACTTTGGAGGAAAGAGAACACGAAAAGCACTCGTTCATTTCGCTTGTATGAGCAGTAAAAAAAATCCCAGATGACCTAAAATATATCTGAAGTACTCGGCTAAGACGTCACCACAGTTCTTGTGTTTGGGCAAGTGTAATACAGTAGGATTAATCCTGAATCAAAAGTTTAATAATGTACACTTTAAACAATTACATACATCCTTTCAGGCGCTGTTGCAGACAACCTAGTTAGTTACTTGTGTTATCATTCATAACTTGCATCGTCCGATGTGCTGTTGGTGCTGATAGTTTGCGAACCGTTGCCTCTGAGAAAACATTGTGACTCACTACGAAGGTATTCGATATTAGTCCCTACTGTAGTCAGTAACGATGTGCACAGCGAGGTTACGCTGTGTCTACAGTTGTCACTGTCTTACTCAAAGGAAATTGGCATAGGCACTCCGTTCACTTACCTCTGCTCATATCTGTGACAGCAAGCACTTTTGCCTATTTAGGCACAGTTGATCTTTTTGTAAAGACACATTTATGTCGGTCATTTCAGGTAGAAGATTTGAACCTACCATAAATTTTGTTAGAAATTGTGACATCGTACTCAGTCTTTTACAAGTATGAGTGGTGTTTGCATTAGCAGGAAGGGCTTGTGCATTGAATGAAAATTGAATGAAAACTTGCACCGACACGACCACCTTATAGAAACAAAGATTGGGCTATCAGTGCTGTGCAAATGGAGCTGCTTCTTTTTAACTCTTTGTGGGTTCATCTAGGTATATTTTCGATGTGATAACAGAAAGTGTACAGTGCGGAGTAGCAAAATTAATGTCCTTATAAGTCGTGTAAAGCAATTTTCACCAGAATTTCGCCATTAGTATATGGGAGACAAAGTGAGACATATCTGTCCCGTTTACCCGTCACGTATCTTTAAAAAAGACGGACAACAGCTGTCTCGTGAGTGCACTAGACTGAAATCCTTTCGCAGAATTTCTCGCATGAAGAGTCTCCCAAAAGTGATATGGAGGGGCTCTTCACTGTACTGCAGGGGCACTGTACATAAGGAAGTGCTCCCTCAAATAATTTCTCGCTGAGGTACACAACGTGGGCCTGCTCCTGTCCCGCGGTGCCAGCAGTTCCGTCTGACCTCTTTGCATACACCAACATTTTCACCTCCTCTCTGTCTCTTCTGTCAGGGTAAGATAAGGAATGAGCAACTTTCATATAAAATTGCGGCTATAAATCAAGGCATGCCAGATTAATGTAGTGTCGCCAAATGCACTAAGTCTTGTAAATTAATTCATCAACACAATCCAAGTTGAAGGTCTCTCAGTTCTCCTACCTCTTGTATATTTGTGTTCTCTACTGCTTCCCGACTGTCTACAGATTGATCTTGCCCTTCTTTTCTTTCGGCATTCAATTTCAGGAACATCTCAGGCACAGATTTTCTGTCTTCTTGCCACTGCTGCCATAGCAGTCAAAAAGGACAATAAGAAATTTCAGAGCCTTTCCATCATAAGGCGTCTTGTGACGCAATGTCGTCTCTCAAACTTAAAAAAAAACATTTATGCAGTTAGGCTTTGCAAGCCACTGCTTCATTTTTCGTTTGAGGCACAGCTTGTGATCTCATTTGCACTGCTACCATGGCAATAAAAAAAGGTAACAAGGAATTTTAGAGCCTTTTCCATCATAAGGCACTGTCTTGTGACGTATAGTTTTCCCTTAAACTTGAAAAAACATTTGTACATGCCTGTTATGCAGCTAGGCTTAGCAAGCAGCTGCTTCATTTTTGTGCACACATGATTTAACACAATTATTCGTCTACCGCTTCAGTTTTGAAATAAAATCTTAAGGTTCATATAAAATGCCGGAAAATGAGAAATGTACCATAAATATAACACTTTTGCTAACTTGCTCACAATAAACAAAAATTTTAAAAATTTTCTACTGAACGAAACAAATATAAACTAAATGTATCACCGATACAACATATCGCAAACATCTATTTTTTTTGCTGGTTTTCTAGATGTCTCTGACTCATCAGCAGAATATCATAGCACTGATAGCGATGCATAGTGGCGGAGGAAGCTATTTATGAAGAAAAAAAAGTGCGGCTGATTCGTCCCATAATTCCTTAAAGCATTGAAACAAAGGTGTTTTATGCCGGGTCCCGACGTATTTCCGTTATGAAGATATGTGCCGCAGTTCAGTGCACATCATTTGATGCAAGATGTGGGCATGGTTTCACTATTTATATCCTAATCATGTTCTGTCAGCAGTTTTACTTCACTGAATTCCTCCACCCTTGTAAAGCTTTAAAAAATTAATGAATCAAAATGGGAGTTGGAGATTATTGTTTAAACATGTCACTACACCAAAACCTCGTTATAACAAAGTTTCATCTTACGCAAAAACAAGTTTGTTACATCTGAAAATTTGTTATAAGTGATATTCCTTATACTATATAGCAAGGCTGTTTTTAGTTTACTTTGTTATAGCCGATATTTCGTTATATCTGTATTTGTTATACCGAAGTTTGAGTGTATTTTGATATATTTCATTTATAAGACTTCTGTATCGCAAACTTCTTTTGTATGTTTCAGACAAATGATTTTCTAAGAAATATGATTGAATATAACTTGAATGCAGTCATAGATGTCTGCCAACTCAGTCTTCAGTGAATTTTGATCCCATGATTATGTGTTGCTTTCAGGTGTGCTCTCTGCACTTAGGTAACGGAAAGACAGCCGCTTCAAATCCAGCACTGAAGCTGCATATTGGTCGCAACAGCGAGGTAGGTGAACCATTGCATCACTGCGTCAGATTGAGAAACCTTCGTTTAGGCTTCAGCTCTACAGAAGTCGATTTATAGAACTCCAATTACCTTGGCTGGCATTTTTGAAGTGTTGGTGCCATGAGATTTTGAAGCTCAAACAAGCCTCTTGTAGGTTTCCTCTATATGCTGGGACAATCCACACAAACGGTCGGACAGAGCAAACATGTATAATATGTTTTAATTCACCTCCCAAGTGAACCTAAATGCCCATTCTCTCGACCGAAGCCCATCACAAGCATGTCCAGAACTGTTGTAGCTCTTCAAAAAATTAATTTGAGCGCAAACACACCACACACACACACACCTAGGCATCAAACATGCACAGCTCTGTTGGAAGGGCATTGAAGGTTGTAGTGACTTCGCACCAGTTCTGTAGTTAGTGTAGCTGTGCGCAAGTTTCCCCTGCAAGGGGAGGGGGGCAAAAGTTCACCACAGCACACCCCCTCCCTATTATGTCAATGTATGGGGCTGACATTGCCTAAGTGCGGTACCCCCCCCCCCCCCATTATGTCAATATATGGGGCTGTGTTTGCACCCTTCTCACCCACCTCCCCTCGTAGGTGATTATGGTAGTTGTCACCTCTCTTACCCCTCTCCCATGCGCACGCTTATTGTAGTGAGGTGAGTGACCTTCCGAGACCTTTGCCACATACGTACTCGGCAAAGCATTGTGGCTGCTGCACATTTGTTTTGAAGGTGATATTTTTGGGCACATGTGTGTGAGAGCAGATGATAATCAGCGCAACGTGCCTCACAGCCTTGTAGGGTCACAGCCTACACTGCGATGTCACAGCCCAATTGTGCACCCAGGAACTGAAAACGGAAAATTGTCCACATAAAAAAAGGCGAAATAAGATCATTCAGCGAGAAGAAACGAATCATGGTGTGTGCATCATGCTTCTTGGAGCTGTAGGGAATGCTTCTAGCAAAGAATGCGCAAGCCACAAATATGGTGGCACAGCCCCTTTAAGTGCACTTAGTTCAAGTACATGCAAAAAGAGTGAAAGAGTGAAAGCTTTGGGAACCTCAGAAGTGTACGGTGGGGGCCCTAGTTGGCAAGACAATGAAAACTACGCCTACATACAGGGCTCAAGAAGGAAGATGTGGATGGGACCAGCACTGACTAACAACTGCTTTATTCGGATGACGCCTCTTTTTCTACCACAGCAAAGTGCATGTGCACCATCAAACGCAACTGTACATTGTGAACGACAACTTAAAAACAAGAAATTCAACTTCTTTCTTTTATAGGTGTAACCAAGCTTCACTGATACACTTGTCAGGTCCGTATCGTGTAACATGCAAGGCTTTCATGATTTTCCGTGCCATTTGCACGGCCGATGATCTTGGCCTGCCTGAAGAGCGGTACGCATTTTACTTTTCCCGTCGTTTTACAAAACTGGCAGTGCCTAGGCAGTTGCATCCCGCTGTGTTGAGTGAGGGAATAGCTGTGCTCCTGCTAATGCCTATTAATGCAGCGTCCCATCTGCCTGACATATACCGAAGCACAGCTATACATCGTTTGTTGTAGGTGATTGGGCAGTTTCAGACGGTGAAGTATTCAATGATAGTGTAACTGTCGAGTTACTGTATAGTCTATTTTATCTGGTGCATTGTTTCAGTGCATACTGTGGTGCGCCAAAAACTGTTACCTGTTGCAGTAACTTTCGTCTGCTCTTCTTCGGGTGTGTCTCAGTGGCAGTAAATCCTAAATAAAGCGGAAGTTCAGGGGAAGATGGAAGAAAGACGAGATTAAATATTTTGAACATGGGGTATCGCTGGAGCTGACATCTTGAGGGAGTGAGATTTGACTTTATTGAAAATATTCTGAGGAGGCTGAGTAAGGGCCATTCCGACCCTTAGGTCAGCCTGGAGGCTCCGCCCAGAATGGCGCTAAGAGCCGAAGGCTTGACAAGCAGTCTTGAAGAAAGGTTATGGATGCAACCCACGCAGACGGAAAAAAGGGGACAAAATTGAGTGTCAATTTTGACAGATACCAGTTTATCGTTCAAGCAATACGTCACCTATCATGCGTGGCGTGTTTTAGAAGCACTCATAATCTGTAAAGCAGGCTCCATAGAAGTAGAAACGTGTGACGTGCCCGTTGCATATGCGTGGGTTCCGTAGTGGTCTAAGAAAGGCGTTCGAACACGCAGGAGACTACAAAGGGACTCCCAGGCTCTTTTTTTTTATTCTGTTTAGGCGCCCGTGCACGCACGAGCTCAGCACCGATATTAATTTTCTTCGCGTGGAGTTGCGAGACACTCACCGAGCGTTGTCTGCTATTGCTCGTGACAGAGCGGAAAGGTAGTCAAGGCCTACTATAAGAGAAATGCTTAGAAGTATCTTTGAGTCCTCCTTATAGCAGGATTTTTTGTCCTGAAGTTGACTTCTTATTTTTTGCTGAAGGTGCAGACAATATATTCTTGAATAAGATGGATATTTTGTTTTGTACTAGCTGGGTTGCTGCAAAACTGATCTACCAACAGCACGGACAAGTAGTATACGAAGGTGATAGCGAACTTGAAATCATGCGGGGCTCTTTCTGTATAACTGACAGTATAGATAGAAATTTTTTGCCATAGATGCTCTGGAAGGGGAAACGTTTTCAGCAGAGTTACTTCAGTCTCGGAACTCTCGTGTGCATTCTGGCAGAGTACACAGTTATGGATGGCAATTTTCACCTGTTTGTCCATGCTAGGCCACCAGAAATGCTCTCGTAGTTGTGATTTAGTGCGGACTATCCTAGGGTGCGCTTCATCTATGGTAGAGATGACCTGTGGAGTAAGGGATGGATAAACTATGAGGCATTTACCAGGCAAAGCAAGTCATCGACCAAAAAGAGTACTTTGTGCATGGCAAAAATCGCTGTAGTTCATCCAGTACAAACTTGTGAGACGGCTAAAATGATTCAACATAAGCCTTGACTTGTTCCAAGGTAGCATCTTCACGCAAGTGCTGCTGCAACTGTTCTGTGGTGAGGCAGAGTGGAGCAGTGAGAGACACAATCTTTTCGTTGACTGAGACATCTGCGTGCGAAACAGGCACTGGAAGGCGGAACAATGCACGTGTACCTTGATTGTCTCACCTTTTGCAGTATTCCACTGTATAGTTATAGCGCCTATAGGGGACGTCTTCCTGAGTCTCGAGACGACAAAAGGGACACAAAGGGTTGGTGGTTTGTACAAAGTGTGAAATGCCATCCTGAAAAGCCTGTGTGCCAACGCTCGCAGGACCAGACACATGCAAGTGCTTCCCGTTGACCAACTGTGTAATTCCTTGTTGCTGGGAATAGTGTGCAGAAGAAGAAGGCGACTACGTGCAGCTGGTGCCCATCCACTTGTTGGAAAAACATCCCCAAGGCTGCAGTCCGATATATTCGTGGAGACAACCACTGGAATAGTGGGATAAAATATCTGAAGTAAGCTCTGCTGGATGACAGTAGGAACTTGACCTTGAGTAGGAACTAGCATAGATGGCATCACTCCAGGTGGAGCCTTGATACTTACGGAGCAGGCCTTGCTGATGTCATCGGATCCATGACATCAGCAAGGGATGAGGCAAACTTGGCATTGTACTTGACTTAGCCGAAAAAGAAACGCAGACCAGCAACGTCAGTGTGATTGAGGGCATTCAGGCTAGAATCGTTTTTTTTTTGGCAGCAATGAAATGGCTTGAGCAGTGACTCTGTGGCCCAAGAAAGACAATTATTTGACAAAGAAGGTGCATTCGTTATTGAGTTTGAGTCCAGGGGACTCGATGCGATGGAGAAGAGCGGCCAAAGTGCTCTTGTTCGGTCCTGCCAAGCACAATAATATTGTCTGTGTAGAACAAAACACCAGAGCATCCTTTAGGAATCTGCGACATCAGCTGCTGGAAGGTTGAGGGGGCAGACGCCAGCCCAAAGCATACCTGCTTAGTATGAAACAGTCCATCATGATCCACAATTCACAGCACATTTCACATCATCGTGTGCTCCATTTCATACATCAAGTTCGACAATGTGGGAGCTATGCAAGTACTTCGGTCGGTTATTGCGTGAGCAAAATGTGTAAGTCTATGCTTGCATTTTGTCGTTGAAAATGTGGCCTCTACGATTGGCTGTGGTTCCACTCTACCGGTACTACTTATTGCAAAAGCTGCGGTTCAAAAACAAAGAGATATTCAGAAAAACTGTGAAAATAACTAGGTTTATTCATTTCTGGGTCACAAAGCATTTTCATTTATAACTAAGTCTAAAAAAGAGGAAAAAGATGACGTTGTATAATGCCATTTTTTTTCATAATGGTTACATATGGGTTCTTAAATTATTTAATCATTTTCTTGGTGCGAAAGTCTCGCTAACTTCCCTGGCATTGCACCTGATGTAAGTCATGGAATCAGGTCTCTTTCCGAGGTTTTTGATCGCCTTTGTCTTGTGTGAACTAAATTGTGCGGTCTAAACAATCATTAATTTTTCCTTTTATGCAGGGTTTGAAAGCTCATCTGGCCAAGCTTGTACAGAATTCGTCAAAGAGCTGGACCTCGAAAAGAAATGTTTCCACGCAGAAAAATGCCCCCTTGATGTTCCCGGTCATGTGCCAGGCTGGTGAACAAACTGCTGCATTAAGGGACTGTGCTACTCAGTGGGAAATTCCACACGATCAAGTGCGGGTGGAGCACTCTTACGCCGACATGAAGTGGTTGACGAAATACTCATCCTTGAAGTGGTTGTTGAGACGCAAACAGGATGAACCAGAATAGCGAATCGTCGACCTTGTTGGTTCGACAAATTGCAAAGGGGAATGCATAAACAGCGCAACAGAGCAGTGATCCTGTGGCCCAAGAAACACAATTATTCGACAAAAAAGGTGCACTTGTTATTGAGTTTGAGTCCAGGGGACTCGATGCAATGGAGAAGAGTGGCCAAAATGCTCTTGTGTGGTCCTGCCAAGCACAATAATATTG